TGAGGAGGCTTAAGCATTTCTGTTGTTAGGCTAGATTTAAATTTAGAGTCTGTTAAACTAAGCCTTCATTTTTCTGGGTACCATTTTCAGCTGGGCCAAGTCTCTTCTGTTATTTGGTTCCTGATTTGGGCTGGGCATGGGAAGCAAGAAGCAGCCATGGGGACAGGAGACCTTCCTCAGAAGGGGCGAGTGTTCAAGCCCCTGCACCATTGGGGGGGTGAGGATCTGTGCCCCACCTCTGTTGAACCCCAAGTTCTCTCCTACTGGCCCCCGACTGTGCCTGTCTTAGGTCGCCCCACCCTGTGGGGTCTTACCCGTCTTTGACTACCAGCCATCTCTGGGCCAAGTAGGGTGATGTGAGGTTCAGTTTTGTCTCCTTGGTAGCCTATGTCCCTCTGGCCCCCATGCCCAGCAACTGCCTTTGGATCCTCTCGCCTGCTGGCGGGGCCCTGGCACTGATCATAGGGAACCCAGGTTTCTTCTCCAGAGAGGGCCCAACTTACGCCATTGGGCAAGAGACAGATCCATGGTACCAGCTTTTCATGATCTCAGTTTGAATGGAGAGCTCAGATAACAGCTATAGACAATTGGATTGTGAAAAGAGGAAATCCTCTTGGCAAAAAGGGCAAGAGAGGTCAATACAGAATGCTTAAGTGCCTTCCCAGGGGGCCTTCCACACAGTGGAAGGGAATAAATCCTTTTATGTCCTTAAATATTAAATTGTTGCCAAACATTCAAAGAATTTGTAAGTTTGTTTGGGATAAATGCACAATATACTGTTTTAAAGCATCAAAATTATTAATGAAACTTGTAGAATAATACCATGTAAGAATATTCTTTGTTCTAGGTCATGACAATTCAATTTTAAATGGGCTGTCTCGAGGTTTGGAATGAGGAACCTAGTTTGCAAAAAAATGCAATTTACAGAAGCAGAGACAGCATGCTATCCAAATTACAGTTTTGGGTAAATACATTATCTAGAGTCCTTGGGTAACCCAGGTTAAACTTAGGCATATTATCTAAATTACAGTTTTGGGTCTCCAGAACACTGAGTTGACACGCTAACTGGAGCCCTCTGACCTTGGGATAGTTGTGCTGTCCTTCCCAGGTAAAGGAAAATTGTGCCTTCTAAGACCAATATGAAACTTACAGTTTTTACCTGAGTTAATTGTTACCATACTTCACATTACTATGCCCCAGGTGGTCCCTGGGCTGTTGGTTGTCTGGTTTGTCTTCTTCCTGCTGGATTACACTTGGAGAACTTCAACTTAAAAAAGAAAATTCTTTCTCTTTTACACCAAGTAACCTATAGGATTACTTTTTGGATCTTGACTGATAGTGCCGCAAGGCCATGTATTTCAAGTCAAAGTCATTAAACATTTATGGTGACTGTACTTGTTTTCATATTTGGTATTTTAACAGCAAATCATTAGATTATCCTATAAATATTAGTGGAAGATATTTCAAAATATTAAAATTTCTCCTTTTTATTAAATTTAAAATAATATTTTTAAACAGCATTCCCTTTCGGCTTATTTGCATATACAGAGGGATCATGGGAAGCCTTCAGTAACTTTTTAGAAGAATTTTACTTTACTAGGATTAAATTGCTTACAAAGATTAGTAAATTTAGTAATTTTATGTCTGATTCACGAGGTGCAAATGCTGCCCCACCTCCAGCCTAATTTAAAATGCAGCGGCATGGTGCTTTTGTTAGTTTAAATAAAGACATTGCTACTAATAAATCAATTTTTTCTTTTATTTGGAAGAAATTTCTTATGCAACCAAGAATATTATATTTTGAAATATTGCACTTGGGAAAAACTGTCAAATACATATCTAATTAAAAAATTTTCAACATTTAAAAGCAGTTCTCCACATAATAGGATCTAGTCTTGACCATGGAATCAATTACTCTTTATTTGTTTACGATATATGTATAACTGTGGTTCTACTGAGAATTTAAGATGACTTAAAAATGTCTCTTATCTACAAGCCTTTTAAGAAATATGAGCTCTATTGTCGGCCCTTATAAAGCCAACTGCTTAAAACATTGGTCTATCATACCACTGAAATTATATTAAGACCGTGATCGCTAATTATTAAGTATTAAAAATATTTTCTAAAAATAGTATTAAATAAATTCGTGAAGCAAGCATACTTTCAGCCCCATCGCATTTCCGTAGTAAAACTCCGCCTTAAAAATCCACCCCTGAAATCCCATCCTGCCTCAGTGAGCAGACACTCCTTTTGTGATTGGCTAAGTCAGAGGGAGGGGCCTTTGTTGTTCCAAGATGGCGGCCCCCAGGGGAGCGGCAGGCCATGTGGCCAACATGGAGGCTGCCAAGTCATGCAGCTCAAAGTGGCGGCTGTCTACACTGTTCTTTGACAGAGCAAACCAAAACCCCTAAAAGATAGATGACTGACATTTATTGTAGACAAACAGAAATCTCATAAGCTGTTTATACCCTTTATAATTATCTTAAAGAATATCAATCAAATTTAAACTGGTTTTTGTATTAAAAAATTTTCAGTTGAGATCATAAAATTAATACTCTTTTTTAAATCAGACCAAGACATAACATATTTTGAATTCCTAATCATTTAAGAGAAAACACACTTTATTTTTTCAAAAACAAGTTATACATTAGATATTTAATTTCTCCCGATTCAATTTGCACTTTAAACTTTCAGAGCTTACAAGTCAAATATTAGCAGTTCTTTGATTAACTACACTTTTATATTTTTAAGAATAAATATTGAAATCTAATAATTAACTTTAAACCATATTTTTTCTGCGCGGGGAAACTGAGAAGCGAACTTGTAGGTATTACAAAACGACTACTGGTGGAAAGCTGATTTCAAAGGAGCCACCTTTTGGCTGCTTGACCTTTTCTGGGAAGGTTGCTAGCAAAAGGTGTAGCCATTGAAATGCAAATTAACATTCCTAAAGATGGCTGCTGGTGGGAATTGGATTACCTGAATGCTAGGAGAAGGGCGTGTCTACCCCTCCTTCCATTAAAAAAGGGGTGTAGCTTTAAACTTTTTTAATGGCAAAAAAAGAGACTTTTACATTTAAGGATACATTTCAAATAAAATATAAGGCATTTTCAATTAATAGATTAACTTCTATCATCTAGACTTCATACTAGGCATACTCAGATCAACATTTCAATATTATACTTTTCGATGATTTGAACTTAAAAATGGTCACAATTTTCCTGCTGGGGAAGTCAAGAAGCAAAACCATAGCTATTCACATGTAAGCTTGACTATCAACTTCCTGGTGGTACTTGCCTCAGGGCGGGAAATTTCAAAAGAGCTACTTTAGATTGCCTTGGGAAACCAGCCTGCATTTCTTTCTCAGGTTCATCTCCGCCATTTTTAAGGCCAAAACAGTCTCGGGTTTTTATTCTGTACACAGCAAAAGGTCAAGTTCAGCTCAAAACTATGCGTACTCGTTTTTAAACTGGCCTTCTCCCTTTACATGTGCACAGAAATCCCAGATGCATTTATGAATTTGTAAAAGCTTTAAGTCATTAGCTGAAAAAGATAAAGATGGCGAAGATGAGGCGAAGAAGTGGCTTTCTTGGGGAGTGACGTCCATATTGGATAGCCACATGAGATTCCCCACCTCGTTTCTTAGGGGGAAGATTCAGTAATGGTCTGGCATTTACTCTTTTTATTATATTTATTTTTCAATTTTTATTTATTTTTATTTTTTTTAAGGAAAGAAAAGATTTTTTAAGATAAAGAATCATCGGCAGTTGCTGAGAAATTCCTTTAATCCTTTTCTACTTGGTTACAAGTAGTTTACATGTGGAGGCAGAGGAGATGCAGATGGTATTCTTAGAGACTCACACCCTTCCACTCCAGGCTGTAAGGCCGTGGCTGCACCCCACTTAGACATTCTTAAACTCTCCTGTGCTGAATCAAGGCCATCACCAATTAAAATAGGAATTTTCTCTGGACATTTTGCTGAGTATTGGTCACACAACTGCTTTCTAACCTTTTCCCAGGTTTCATCAACAAAGCTTAAGAAAGAAATCAAGACTTTGACTACAATTAACAGAGCATAGTTTAAAGCATTTTTTGAGGATTACCCACGTTTTACACCTGGCTATTTCATATCAATTCACAACAATACACTCCCCTTACCTTATTCCTTTAAATCTGTGTGCACACGCTTCTGGGAGTGACCCCCTCGCTTTCTTCTTTTGCCTCCGTACTCAGTCCCTGTTGGGGGGCGCCAAATGTGGGGGGCTGTTTCTCTCTTTTCCATGTCCCGCATGGAAAAGGAAACAGTCCATTTGCTGAGTGGAGGAGCTGGGGATTAAGAAATTAAAGAAAGACCAAGACGCAGAAATAGATTTTAAGCTGGGGCCAGGTGGGCGCCATCCTCTCTGATGGAGAGGCGGCAAAAAGCGGCTGAGCCACACAGCAGGTTTATTTTAAAGCCCTAGATTTACCTATCTAGTTCCGCCCCTGCCTGATTAACATGTCCAGCCTTATTGGGGAAGCATGTTCCCAGGGCGTGGCTCTGCCTAAGCTCTGAGATCAGCTGACAATAATTATAAGAAAATGCCTAGGTGCCTCCCTGGCGGCCCTCTACAAGAGGCATCTTTTTAAAAAATATTTTTATTGATTTCAGCAAGAAAGGGAGAGGTAGGGAGGGATAGAAACATCAATGATAAGAGAGGATAATTGATTGGCTGCCTCCTGAACACACCCCACTGGGATAGAGCCCTGAACCCGGCCAGGCATGTGCCCTGACCAGGAATCAAGCTAGTGACCTCTTGGTTCATGGATCGACAATCAACCACTGAGCCACACCAGCTGGACTATTTCTTCTATGTTTTGGAAAATAAAAAATAAAAACCTTAAAAGTTTACAAGTAATATGAAGTACCTACAATGTGGTGGCACAATGCTAGGTGCTAAGCAAACAAAGGCTTAGGGAGAGTCTTGTTTCCTCATGGGCTGATGGATTCAGGTTCATAGTCACTGGTGGACTTTCTGGTGCTGCTTCAAGTGATCTAATCGTGCAAAACGCCTGTCGCACAGAGTACACAGGTAGGGTCGCTCCCCACTATGCCTTTTGCTGTGTCTCTTGAGCTCATCTAAACGTGCGAATTCCCATGTGCATCCCTTCACATTGCATTTGTAGGGCCTCTCTCCTGTGTGTTTGCGATTATGGAGTTGGAGAGAGTAATACTTTGAATATGATTTCTGACAGTCCTGGTATGTGCAAGTGTAGGGCTTTAAAATGTCAAGATTCTTCTTGAACTGACGTCTCTGGGTTTTGAGTTTTGACTTCTGTTCTTCTAGGGCTTGTCCTTGGGTCAAATGGGAACTTGAATGGTACAGGGATCCTAGGTATGGCAATGATGGCGACTGACACGGCATCATATGGCTTCCATAGAGAGTGTGGTCATTAATGAAGGTTCTCATCTGGTCCCCCTTAAGGGTCCCCATCTGACCCCCATAGAGAGTCTTGTCACTGCTGTATGTTGTCACCTGGCCCCCAGTGAAGATATGGTTCCCAATGAAGGTCACTGGATAGCCCCCTTTAAGAGGTGTCATCTGGCCTCCATAAGGGGTCTGGTCCCCACCGAAGGTCATCTGGCCTCCATAGACAGTCTGTTCATCACTGAGGGTCTTCATCTGGCTGCTTTCTTTGGAGATTGTCATGTTGTTTGCAGTGATGGTTGTCTTTAGGCAATCAGTGAACAATGCCTTTGGGTTGTCAGTCACACCTATCATCCAGTAGGTTGCTGTGGGTTTTCTTTGATCAAAGGAGGTCACCTTCTGGTCCATGGAGACAGTCTCATTTAGTTCTCCAGGGGGCTTATCGAAGGCATTAACGGGGAGAGTTATTGAGTTCTGGTCAAGGACTGTCCCAAGGATATTAGAATATGCAGAAACCATCATTGTGGGCCTCAAAGGAGCCATCACCTGGTTCTGAATGGACTCATGCTGGCACTCGTCACCACGGGCAGTCAGAGGCATGCAGATCTGTGGCTCTGGTGCAGCTGGAGTTCTTGACTCATGTGTCTCAGAGAACTCCAGGACGAACTCCACAATTTCCTGAGGTAAAGGGTGAGTCTCTTGGCAGTTGCCGGATAACTGAAGTAGATCTTTAGCTGTGGGATCCATCATTTCATCGAGCGCAGTCAGGAGCCACTGTGTCTGGAGGTAAGGTCGGGCCGGCACGTAGTTGCTCGGTGCAGGGCCTGGCACTTATGGAGCCCGCAGCCAGATGCGCCTGGCATTTATGGAGCCGCAGTCAGATGCGCTGCGCGCCTATTGGCGCCTTCACTTGCCACCCCCTCCAGGGCGGAGCCTAGGGTTTAGGCTGTAATCCGCTCTCGGAATGCGGATGAATGAGAGAGGGAGGGAGAGATTGCCTTCTGTAGGGCTCCCACGGCTCCCACCGGGAACTGAACCAGTAACCCAGGCATTTACCCTGACTAGGAATCAAACCAACCACTGGGTGCACAGGATGACGCTCAAACCACGGAGCCAGTCTGCCTGGACGTAATGGCATATTTTGATGCCCATCTCCCCACCCCCCACCCCAGCAGGGTGGCACACGCCTGGGCCGCGTGAGTGACCTTTGACCCCCTTCCCCTCCGCTCTGGTCTTGGTTGGCTCCCATCGCCTATGGCCTCTCCATCACCAACAAGCCTGGGGCTTTAGCGGTTCGGTTCATAGGAAGACCCGTCCTCTTTAGGGCTCCCGGCCAGCCTCTGTTCTCTGCATTTTGTTTGTTTTTTTTTTGTTTGTTTGTTTTTTTTGTTTTTTTTTAATTAAATCTTTATTGTTCAGGTTATTACATTTGTTCCTCTTTTTTTTCCCCCCATAACTCCCCTCCTCCCAGTTCCCGCCCCACCCTCCGCCCTCACTCCCCACCCACTGTCCTCATCCATAGGTGCACGATTTTTGTCCAGTCTCTTCCCGCATCTCCCACACCCCTTTCCCCCCCAGGAATAGTCAGTCCATTCCCTTTCTATGTCCCTGATTCTATTATAATCAACAGTTCATTCTGTTCATCAGATTATTTATTCACTTGATTCTTAGATTCACTTGTTGATAGATGCATATTTGTTGTTCATAATTTGTATCTTTACCTTTTTCTTCCTCTTCCTCTTCTTAAAGGATACCTTTCAGCATTTCATATAATCCTGGTTTGGTGGTGAGGAACTCCTTTAGCTTTTCCTTATCTGTGAAGCTCTTTATCTGACCTTCAATTCTGAATGATAGCTTTGCTGGATAAAGTAATCTTGGTTGTAGGTTCTTGGTATTCATCACTTTGAATATTTCTTGCCACTCCCTTCTGGCCTGCAAAGTTTCTGTTGAGAAATCAGCTGACAGTCGTATGGGTATTCCCTTGTAGGTAACTGAGTTTCTTTCTCTTGCTGTTTTTAAGATTCTCTCTTTATCTTTTGCTCTTGGCATTTTAATGATGATGTGTCTTGGTGTGGTCCTCTTTGGATTCCTTTTGTTTGGGGTTCTCTGCACTTCTTGGACCTGTAAGTCCATTTCTTTCACCAGGTGGGGGAAGTTTCCTGTCATTATTTCTTCAAATAGGTTTTCAGTATCTTGCTCTCTCTCATCTTCTGGCACCCCTATAATTCTGATGTTGGTACGCTTGAAGCTGTCCCAGAGGCTCCTTACACTATGCTCGCATTTTTGGATTCTTTTTTCATTTTGCTTTTCCGGTTGGGTGTTTTTTGCTTCCTCGCATTTCAAATCATTGACTTGATTCTTGGGCTCCTCTGGTCTGCTGTCGGGAGTCTGTATAATATTCGTTATTTCAGTCCGTGTATGCTTAATTTCTAGTTGGTTCCCCAATATAAGATCGAGGGTCTCATTAGTTTTCTTGTAGATCTCATTAAGTTTATTGGCGGCTTCTAAACAGTTCTTGAGAGACCTTAAAAGTGTGGTTCTGAACTCTATATCTTCCATTGACAATTTTGTCCTGTTTCTTTGTCTCCGCATTTTGTTATGCTTCCTTGGTGCACCCCCTAGTGGTCTTTGTTCGCAGTCTTATAATTAAATCTTGATTGTTGTAGCTAATTCCAGGGAGGGTTTGACCTCCAGGCCAAGTGGCTATGAGAATCAGCTGTGTCAGCAGTGAGAGAACTTCTGTCCTCTAGGGAGGTGCTAATCCAGCCTTTGCCTGAGGCTATCCGGCAAATGCCTGTGTGCAGGGCTTGGGCGGGGCGGGTCGCACAGGATCAACAGGGTGGGCTGGAGAGAGCAGTTATGGCGGCTCTCAGTCCTGTCCCCAGGGGCTCTGCCTCTCTGAGTCCCAGCACCCGCTGCAAAGCTCAGAGAGAAAGCTGCACTCGCTCTGACCGAAGCCAGACAGTCCCGCTTCTCCCGTTTGAGTCTGGGTCCCTAAAGACTCGCCCGGATCTGGAGCTCAGAGTCTGCGACTCCCTCCCGATTGAAAACGCCAACCGCACCCTCCGCTGCCAGCCCGCTCCGCGCACTCCGCACCTCAGAATTTGACTTCAGCACTGTGCCTCCTCTGAGTGTCCGTATGCGTTTCTCTTTCCTCCCAGTTGTAGGACTTCCACTCAGCCAGCGTTCCTGTGGTTCTGGGTGATGTCCGTTCCGTTTTTTGGTTTCACTTTTGAAGTAGTTGTTCAAAGCAGCAAACTCCGGCGTTAACCTATGCCGCCATCTTGGTTCTCCTGTTTTTGTTTTGTTAGCCGAAGACCAGTGCAGACGGAGTTTGAATTCATGGGAGCACACGAGCCTTTGGGTGTGAGAGTGTGGTCATTTGAGCTGCGTTCACACACTTCAGGCGCAGAAAGGCAGAAGGAGAGCCTGGCGCTGGTGTAATGGCCTGCGGCAGGACTGGTGAGCTAGGCAAAGGCTGAGACTCCGAATGCTCCACGACTAAACGAATCCCGTGTTTATTTTTATCTGAAAAATTTCCCTTCTGATCACTGAAGCCATTTTCATAATGAGCACCTATACCTGGGCATTCCCATATGTTAAATTTGAATCTATCTGTGTCGTTAACAGCAAGAGTAGAATAAACACATACTGGTGGCAGTGTTGAAATAAGTTTCTACAATTTGTGTGTGTGTGTGTGTGTGTTTATTTTAATGTCCACGCCCCTTTGCCTTGGGTCCAGATGGTTGTTAGTTGCCGGAAGCCGGTCCATCCTTGCTGCTTGACACAGTCGCTGCAGGGAAGAAACATCTGCACAGCATATGTTTCAAGGGACCTGGCGTATATGGCATATTGTTCTTAATATGTTTGCTCCCCTTCTTGGCGCTATGTGTTTTAACCAAGGTCACCTCTCAGAAAAAGGTTGTTTCTCCAGGTAGGGATTTTTCCCTGGAGTTAGGGAGGGAATAAAACTGCTTAACTAAGTGCCAGGCGGGTAGTTAATCACTTTAACTACGAACAATCACGCTTAAGCTACATAATCTTTACTCCGTGGAATGGAGATAAGAAACGCCCTAACCTTTGGAATAGAAATTGATAGGATTAAAACCAACTGGTATAAATACAGATATAACAAGATAATAAAAAACAGATCCTGGCTAGAGAACCTGGCTAGGCTGCTGATCACCTGAACACTGCCTCTGTGTCATTCCTTCTTCGCCAACTCCGTCCACACCTTTGGGGACCCCTGGACCTGCTGGGGCTGGACCCCAACAGTTAGGTGAGGCCAACAGGCTCCCAGACCCTGGCTGCTGCTCCCAGCTGCTGGGAGGCCTGTCCTTGTCCGCCTCTCCAGTAGCCTTGTTCTCGCACTCAGAGGCAGCTGTTATCCTCAGATAAATGTATCATACAGACTGTTTTCTCACCACCCCCTCCTCCCTCCATCCCCAGGCAACCAGTGATCTACATTCTTTCACTGTTCCATGTATAGACATGACAAAGCATAGCATTTTATAGGATTTTGAGTTTGTGTAAATGGCATCATTCAGCACTTATTCTGAAACTTGCCTTTTTTCATTGGATGTCTGCCTTAAGAATTCTCCAGGTGGAGAGAGAAGTAGTGTGCTCCTTTTAGTTATTGCGTTCCCCTTGTGTGAGTGTAGGGAATGATGTGGGACCATCCAAGAGAACTTCGGGTCCCAGAACAGACTGGCTTTTTAGATTCTGAAACAGGGCAAGGTAAGGTAGCCTTGGTGTGAGCAACCACTGGGGCAAAGGAAATGGTTCCTTTCCAGGTTACCTTTGGGTAAACTGGGAAATTACCTTTGAATAAGGCAGGCTGGTTGATCTTCTTAGCAGCGTTGAAAATAAAGGGCATAAGCCTCTCAAATCCAGTGTCGCCGACTGAATTTACCTCTGGGACTCTGATTCTGTAACGCTGGGAAAAGGAAGACGTGGAATTTAAGATGAAATTCATAATTCTGGATATGACAGCATATTTAAATCACTTTTGATGCACTCCAATTGGCACTAACAGGGATCATTCCAGTTGTAATTCTGGAGACAATAGAGAGATGTGGATAAGAAGAGAGAGAACGGTGCTTTCTGAGCAATGAATTGCAGAGTTCTGGCCCCTCCTACGCCTTTCTCCCATTTCCTAATGTGTCTCCTCTCTGGTCCTACTGTGTTCTACTTCTGCCCTGTTCAAGGGCCTGAGTGGAAATGCCTACCTTTTATGGTAATCTGAGAATGACTAACCTTAAAAAAAAGAATCCCTGAAGCATTTGAATTTTTTAACAGGATATTTGTTAACCCAGAGCCACAGCTATTCATAGGATTTCTGGCTAGATGACAAGGCAAATTGCAAACATCCAGGTAGTGAGGGAGAAAGAGCTGGAGATTTTGCAGACTGCCTTGTTGGCAGTTCCTCATCCTGTTACCACTTGTTGCTGCTGCTTCTTTACCTCCCCTTCAAACCCCACAGTTTTTCTAATATCTCTAGGCTCTCTGGCAACCACAGGAGAGATGTTTGGGTGAGGAGCAGAGGGTCGAGCTTAGTGATGTGGCTCCTTGTGTGGACTGGAAGTCATCTGTGCCATATTTCTGTGGACTTCAGTGCTTTTTAAAGGCCCAAAACTGCTATCGTCAGAATAATTCTTTTTGCAGTCCTATTTATAATTTTAATTTACTGAGTACTTTTTTCTTCCTTCCTTTTTCTGAATTTAAGCAACATGGATTTATTATCTCATAGT